CCCCCCCCCCCCCCCCCCCCCCCCCCCCGCGGTGTTTCCCATCGGGGTTGGGTTTTCGTCGCTTGGCAACGACGTTGGAAAAACAAGCCAAGTCACTTCGTGAACTCGGCAACCAGGCTACCGTGTTTTTTTTCTACCTCTGTTTTTTTCTTTTGCGGTAACCATAATGGTGGTCGAGTAGATCATGTTGTGCGGGGTCGAGAACTCTCACTCCGCGCAAGGGAGATGATCGCACCACGTTGTGTTAAAATGGCCAAGCATCCTGGAGGCAGTTACACAGTGCTTACAACTGTCTCTGGAAGTGAAAGCACCAGAAAATAATAAATTAAGTCATACGCAGCTGTCATCCGTACGCAAGGAAGTAAGCACAAGATGCCGAACACCCTTAGCAGGATGCAGCGCACCCTTCATGCGACTCGCCGAATACCTCACGGCGCCTCGGGCTTGGTGATGTGAGAGCCTGGTCCGGTGAGAACCCGGCGTGCTCCGTCCCGGCTTTGTAGGGATACGTGGTCAATGGTCTAAAGACTACGGCATGCACGACTATGAGGACACCCCCCCTCCCCCCCCCCTCCGCCCCCCCTGCCCCAAAATTTAGGCCACACCCTCCTCTTCCCTCGCCCTTTTGGCACCACATTCCCACCAAACCCGCAATATGCCTCCAATCAACAACGTAACATGCGAGCAGCTCCTCCGACCTGGGCCTGAAGGTGGTTTCGAAAGCGATCGACACGCTCTTCGCATTCGAGCCATTCTTCGACTACATGGTGGTAGAGGCGCGCGAGAAGATAGTGAAGCGGTCCTACACTCTCGGGGTGGGGTGGGCGGAAAACGTGGACGGCATGAGGCGCAACATGGACGAGCTCCAGGGCGAGTACGACCGGCTGCTGGACGCCAAGGTCAGGTAGAAGGAGGGAGAGTGACATAGGGGAGACAGGCAGACAGACAGAGGGAGAGAGAGAGAGAGAGAGAGAGAGAGACAGAGACAGAGGGAGAGAGAGAGACTTTGTCAGTCCTAGGTAATTGGGGTCGACGGGATGGATGTGCACTTGCCTTCCGCGTGGACAAACGACAGGGGTCCATCGGTGCCCTCGTCTAGTATTAGTACATGGCCACGTCAAGACAATTCGAGCATGATTCGCGGTATTGAAAAATAACCCTCCCTTCGCTCATCCCGCTTTTCTGGACGGTGAGCAACACCGACTCGCCCAACTCTCTTGTGATACCACGCAGGAGACTACCGTGCCGGGTAGTGACCCCCCCCCTCCCTCGCGGGCGCCCCGCGTCGCCACTACCCCGCCCTCCTAGGTGTCAACCCCTTCCTACTACTACGCGCCGTTCCACTGCTACCCGGAGGGAAACCTCTCGTGGCAGGCCGCGCTCGAAGTCGAGCCCTCCGCCATCTGTGTCCACGCCGACATCTACACCGGGAAGAAGGGGGTGTACGAGCGCCACGGGGACGACAAGCTGCGGGGGAACTTTCACCAGAGGATGAAGGAGATGCTCAAGGTGCGACCTACTTAAGTCTAGGGTATACGGGCTAAATAGGAGTTTTTAGAAAGTATCCGCACACAGAGAGAGAGACTACCGTACCCGTTCGGTTGGGTTTTGGGGCTGGGGGTTGCGATGATGATGGGGTGTGGTAGGAGGGGCGAACGGGTTTGTTGTAAGAGAGGAAGGCGGCGAGGGGGGAAGGGGTCGGTGCTTTTCCCCTTGGTCCCTTGTATCGAACACGGCTTCGTCTCGTATAGACGATGCTCGGTTGAGTCGAAACGGAATCCAAAGGCGCTAAATACATTTGATGGGCCTCCAAAGCGTGTTTTTGCTGCCTTGGTGCCTGCTTCTTCTGCTGCTGTCCGCTGCCGCGTCGCAACTCCCCAGGGTCCCGAGCCCAAGGACATCCTCGACATCGGGTGTTCGACGGGACTGTCAACCCTGAAGCTGGCGGAGACCTTCCCGTTGGCGAGGATCACCGGGGTGGACCTGTCGCCGCACATGCTTGCCGTGGGGCGCTACTTCCTCCGGACGAGGGAGGAGCAGCGACACGCGAGGGGCAGGGTCGAGTACCTGCACGCCGCCGGGGAGATGACGGGGATGGGGGACGCGTCCATGGACCTCGTCTCGTTGTCGCTGACGAGCCACGAGCTGCCGGCGGAGGCCACTAGGTATGGGTGTTTTGTGCGTGTGTCGGGGAGAAGCGAGCGCCGGTAGGATTGGTCTTGGGTGGGTGGGTGGTGTGCGTGTAAGCCTTCGGGTGCTCTTCCGCTGACTGGGCATGTCTTCCGACTATTGTATGGGTTGAGGCTTTGACGGAAACACTTTCAGTGGAAACACACAGCGCCGCCACTACTTGCATGCAACCTAAACTTGTTTTGTCATCCCTTCGTAGCGCAAGTGCGGGGCAAGTACTCTGTCTGTGCTGCTGCTTGTTGTGCGTGCGATCCTACATATTGACTTCCTATGCGATATTATTTTGTTTGGCCCGATCGGCGGCATGACAACAGCAGTAGAGAAAACAGATACACATGGTGGTGCGGAGGGCGAGGCCGTCTTGGGGTAGTGGTGGGGGGTAGCAGACACAGAAGAAGGCTGTCTCCGCCGGAGTGGAGGCCAGAGAGGAAACCTTGAACTCCCCAACCGGAAACAAGTCGCAATATCGATCGTGTTCGTGGTTGAACGGACCGAGCCAACACTCGACGACGCCACGAGATTCGTTTCTTGCGCGCTAATTTTTGCCCGTGTGCCTGATGGCGCCCCGCCCCCGTCTGTCGGCCGTCGGCGAAAAATCCGAAACCGTAATCGAAACGAAACAGAGAGGTCTTCCGAGAGGCGTTCAGGGTTCTCCGTCCAGGCGGCGCAATCTCGTTCATGGTGAGTGAGGCTGGCCTTTTGCACGGAGGAGAGGGTAGAAAATCACGGGCAGCAGCGTTTGTTGTTTTTAGCACGACGAGACTACTTACTGACGAAGGATACACTGATGAGGTTGCTTCTTGGGGGGGAGGAGGGGAGGGCTTGTGTTCAAATCGTGTACTTGTAGCCCGCTTTTTTCGAGAGTTCGGGGGGTGATTTAAATAGTCATTATCAGTCAAGCATTACTCCTTGAAACCGAGGGTTACTCCGGGAACACATACGATGTGTTTGTGTGTGTGCGTGTACCACGCTGTTCGCTGGCGACAGCCGGCGCGGCGCCTAGTAAAGTAATAGTGCTTGATGGTCTGCAGTCTCAGACATGCGGGTGCGGTTTCTCCAAGAGAGAAGGGTTTGTAGCGTGAAAATGGGCGTTTCGGCACATGACCCGCAGCATCAACAGTGAAGGGGGGACAAGTTCGATCGATATACATACCCTCCACCGTGTGTGTGGGAGAGCGAGAGTGTGTGCCTGAGAGGGAGAGGGAGAGAGAGAGAGAGAGAGAGAGAGAGAGAGAGAGAGAGAGAGAGAGAGAGAGAGGCCTAGTTTGTATCGTGTATCTCACGTCCCACACCAAGAGCCACCCTTACTTGCCACCACCACCGCCGCCGCCCCTCCACTGGAACGTATGGTACAATAGGACATGAACCCCCAGTCACCCGCGTTTCAGAAACTGGCCAACAACCCGTTCGCCTTCGCCGGCTTCAAGGTGAGAAGAGAGAGAGAGAGAGAGAGAGAGAGAGAGAGAGAGAGAACACGCAGGCTGTTGTTCCTGCCGCTGGATGTACGGTGAACGCAATCTCAAAGTGAAGCAAGCACCCCGGCGGCGGGAGAGCCCCCCAACCCTGGGGCGAGCTATTAGCAGCTTGGCCGCGCCTTCGGCGGTACCGCACGTTCACTCGTCCATGTTGGTGCCCTGTTCACTATCAATACAGCAAACTGTATTTCAGCTTCGCCATTGCTTTTCGTGTCTCATGGCGGCGCTACTGCTTGTATTGTACCGGTCGCGAGGGCTGTCCGTCGTGCCGCTTTTTTGTGGTTGTCTGGCGGAAAGAACCGGCGTCTACTGCTCCGTACCATGTTCTGACACGAAAGAGAGCCATGGGCCAATGGTGTTGTGGACGCAAGAAGGTTTTTGTGATTAACTGTTACTGGCATTTCAGATGGTACAATAGGACGCAATAACGTTAACTCTTGTATCATATGTAGGGAGAAAAAAGTGAACTATGGGAAGGATGACAGATGGCAGAGGCCACGAAGACCACCGAGAGGAGCATATGCAGAGAAAACGAATGATCTAAAACGCTCCCAAGGTTTATTTCGTACCCCACCACCGATTATATGGTTTGTAGTGTAGGATATCGATTATATAGGTACTAGCGTAGGATGCTTAGCTGGGTACCTGCTCTTTCGGTCAACTTGTGTAACTTCTAGCTTGTTCGAAGTGGAGGCAAGTTCTGCGGCTCGCCTGGTCCATGTTTTTTTGCTTGGGCCATGTCCCGTACCCTCCCCTCCCCTGATCTCAACCAGTCCCCCCCCCCTACCCTCGAACCGCGCGTCAATTCCTGCGCAACGTCCGCGTACCTCCCATCTATTTGTTTCAGAGCACGGAGCCCTACCTGCAGGAGTACATCTCGCTAGACCTGGGTAAGGAGCTAGAGGCCGCGGGATTCAGGAATCCGGAGGTCCGGTCCAACTCCACACGGCACCGCACGTGTGTAGCCTACGTCGACAAGTGAACCAGGCTTATTTGCCACTCTATATTTTCGAGGGTGTAGAGAGGAACCTGCTGTTGTGACGCCTTTTTTTTGTGGCGGCTTTGGTGATCGGGTTTTGGTCTGGTTGCCCACAAACGGCATGCATTTTGTTTTTTTACCTTCGCAGATACATGGGGGTGACTGCATCAGCGCGCTATGTAGTGCTAAATAGCTCAATAAGTAATCCCCGCCCTGCGGCGCGATTATCAACCACGCGGAAGAACGTTTCCTTGAATGGTTGATGTACACCAAGGAAAGGTCGCTGGTTTGCGTACGTAATCAAGGGCACGATTGGATGATGTGTTTCTGTTATGTGTTACACCCATACTTGTAGCGGTGCGTGGTAAGTACACGAAGATAGATACGTGTAAATTTCCGTTTGGTTGGCTCAATGGGTGGGTGTATAGTAGTGCAATAGACAAACCGTTGCAAACCACGCTCACGTTGTGGAGAGGAGCTTTGTCGGGTACGGGGAAGGGTTGTAAGCGTAGGCATAGCACTTGGCGTGTTACTCCCGTAGTCCGTGTTTCTCCTTCGCGGGGGTGGCGAGCAAGAGAGAGCCGTTAACGCCTCATGCGGGGCGGCGGTGAATCGTATTTCAACTCAGTCGAAAGTATACAGCACTTTCGCGCGCGTCGCGGGGGGGTCTCTTGTTTGATGTCTGGTGAGCGTTGGCTGGTTTGAGTGGTCTATTGCCCACACTCACTTCTTTCTTCGAAAGCCGGGTCCTCCCACGCCATTCGGGCGATGCTTTGCTGCAGTCAGTAAAGGCACAAAAGCCGGGGAGCGATATACCGTATGACACAAGATAACACACCCCATCGGCCGATTTTCAAAGCTCGATTTCTCAACAGCAGGAAGAGTCACAGCGCCGAAAACGGCGGCGTTGGAACCGTCTCGTCGAGAGCTGTTCGAAAACGTATTGTTTCATTTATGCATCCTCTTCGTCGTGGAGTAATCGAGCTTTGAAAATCGGTCCAGGGGGTGTGTTATCTTGTGTCATATACGGTAAGCGCTACAACCAGGCCCCCCTCATCCGTGTTTTTTCGTGGATTTTGTTCTTGTTTCTCTTCTCTTCCAAAAACCCTTTGAACTTGTTGGTGAAGCGGCTGGCTGTGCATACCACGGAAAACTGGCTGCTGTAGGCATCTCACCCGTACAAAGTCGACTCTCCCGCGTGTTCGCCAATATTGTGATATTTTTCTTGTCGCTGAACTTTTCCCTGCGCCCAACAAACTATCAAATATCAGGAAACGACGTTTTCTGTTTCCTTCCTTCTTTTTTGTCGAATTCTGACCCCTTTTTTTTTCTGGGAGCCTGACCGAACCGGGCCACTTTTCTGCAGAGCGCGCGGATACCGTACCAGGCGAAAAAACACACACTTTCAAAAAATACGCGGCAGCGGCGGCGGCGGCTGCTGCCGCTGCTGCCTGGGGTCTTCCCTTCCCCGGTGCGCTTCGTTCGCAGAGCGGCACAAGAGAATAAATCGCGGCGCCCCCGAAAGTTGGATGACTTTAAAAAAAAAACCGCCAAACTCCCTTTCACATGGTGGCGAAAGAAGGCCGGCAACAAAAACAGAACAACGCACCATACGCGCACCTTGCGCGCGAAACCACTTGTGTCAAGTCAAGATACCAAAGGCAACAACCAAAAAAAAAAAAAGAGAAGGAGGGGGGCGCACACAACAGGTCGGGGTCGTTCTTTGTGCTGCTGACGGACCTCCTCAACAAGCCTCCCTCCGACACTGCCGCATCTCCCCAACCAAAAGTCCCGGAGTTTTCGAGCTAGAGCTAGTCGAAAAAAAAAGGTGAGAAGGTGACTCCACCATCCGAACTACCCCTCCTTCGAAACCAAGCCCCCCCCCCTCCTCCCAGGGGACCAAAAAAGACGGCGGTTGCAGAGACGCTACTGCTAGCAGGCAAGGGTGTGTGCCCATTCAAGTGTACAATTTTTTGGGACAAGAGGGCTACTGCGGCTCTCACTACTGCTGCTTGTCCACTACCAGGTACGTGCCTAAATACCTCTTCCGGTTAGTTGCCATCCCCGCCTACCCGAAAACGAAAAACGTCACCCACAAAAACGAAAAAAGTGAAGTCCATGCCCCACCCCCTCCTTCCCCTATCCAAGTGGTATGTCCAAACCCCCTCAAAAACAATAGCCTGAGCCCGCCTCCCCGAACCCACCCAAAAAGCAAACAGCGGCATTCATTCAATCGACCACAACACCGCAGGCTGCTCCTCCTGCTGCCTTTTCGACAGCGACGCTAAAGCCGCGGAGCCTCCTCCCTGTCTGTCCGCAGCAGCTCGCCACTGCACCAGACCGGTGGGCAGCGAGGACAAAATCGGGTAAAAACCGAAATTCCCCCTTTTTGCTCGACCCCATACTCTGGGGCAGGGAAAAAAGAGATGGACATAGGTGGGGTGGGGTGGGGGGGGGGGGGGGGGGGGGTGCCGGAAAAAAAAAAAAAAGGCCCCTTTCTTCCCCCCTGGGCGCCGGTTGGGGAAAA